TGTGGATCAGAAGTCGTCATAGGGAAGACCAAAGCACAAGCCTGATTGCTCATAAAAGCAATTGTACAGTGTAAAATATTAAAGCTGCCTCTTGTGTGATGAATATATTCAAAGCCTCTAGGGTCACTGAAGTTGGTTTTAGATTGAAGCTGGGGTTTTCAAAGGAACCTGAAGATCATCATTTTACTCCTTCAGAAGCTCTTTAAAAATTCCAACTAATTTAGATGTTATTAATCAAGACTAGATCCTCTCCTCCATGTTAATATTACCCTTTCCACATAGACCCTCTGATGCCTATTATCATACTGAGCTCATGCTTCAGTTTTTCCCTCAGGGACGTATATATGGATCTCTCAATATAAAAAAAATAAAAACAGGCAGCTATTAATTTTATTAACCTTGTAAGAGCAATCCTTTGCTAACTGTGCTACAGGTCTCAAAGTTGACTGTGCTACAGGTCTCAAAGTTGTCAGGAAGAAGAAAAGAGATGGGAACGGAAACAGCATACCACATTAAAAAAATACTCAAAATTCAGCTTTGCTTAGTGATCCAATTGGTTCTCTAGCTGGAGAAATTCCACTTACAGAGTTACTGCATAACTGAAGTAAAAAAAAAAAAAAGAAAACATCTTTACCTAGTAATATATTCAAACTGAGCAGGCATGGAGGGTTCATTCATCAGTCCTTCCAGCTGTAAGCTGTCTGTGGTTGGCACATGTATAAGAGGTCTTACAAAGATGTAGGCAATGTAAAAATGGACATGGATACATATACACCAAAAAAAAAAAAAAAAAGTAAGCTGTCCAACAAACCTAACAAGAATGGTAAAAGTTTAATTGGCAGCTTAAGCTCTGCTTCAGAGAGGACATATTCTTTGTATACTGGGCTGGTCAAGCCCTGGCCCTGGACAGCCTCTGGCATGCAAACCCAAGTAGGGGAGGCAGACCAAAATGCCAAAAAATTAACAGCTGCCATTCTTATACAAACTGCTAGGAGTGCTGCCTCAGTTTACACGGCATGCTCCAAATTAAAATTAACAAGCTAAAATATTTTAAGGCATGAGTCTAAGTAGACTCTCTTCTTCCCTCTAATTCTCCTATACAAGCACCCAATTTTCATCAGTTTTATCCCAAGGACTCCTTCATATTGAAACATCCCTCCAAGTATACTCTACGCATCTTTCAACCTTTTCCTTTCTTCACACCTCCATCTCTCTAAAGCACACAGCCCTCAAACTGTGAGGGCTCCAAACTCCTACAAGAGAAAGATAAGGTATGTTTTAAAAAAATAAGTAAAAAGACACCAAACAAATCTAGCCAGTAAATTGCCAAATGTCAGGACAGGAAGAGGACAAAAACCTGCCCCACCCTCCTCCTATGACAAGGATTAAGAAAGTATTTATTCTATAAATATTTTCATTTCAGGAGCTGAAAATGGTCTGGCATTGCTAAACAACATTATTATTCTGAAACAAAAGCTTGGCAAAAGACTTTTCATAAGTATTACATTTCATCTATAATAAAGGAATAGAAACTAGGGTAACTGCATTTTTAATTCTTGATGTTCCCAGCAGAAGAAAATTAAATAACTTAAGCATTTTTCTTCAAGAACATAGGCAGAAATACAAGCATAACAATTCTTTCCATTTCTTAGTTACCAATATGGTATACCATGGCATAGACTTTTAAATAGAAAGAACTATTGTAAAATGGATTCCAAAACAAGAAAATTGTTAATTTTTAATACAACTATATAAGGAAATGCCAACGTTAAGAAAATACAATATCAGCTTCTCTCCAGTGTACATATTAAATATAGCCTTTATTTTCCTATCTTTTCTATACATCTTTATTATTATTGAATTTCTGCATCTTCTTAAAGAAAACTAAGCTTCTGAAAGGAAACGCTTGAATTCCATGCTCTCTCTCTTATCTCAAAGGCAGGCCCATAGTCAAATTTGGTCAGTCTAACAGAGATGTAACAATTTTCCTCCCAGTTGAAAGGTATAGAGAAGTTTAAGCTCTGTCTCTCTCAGATTTTTCTCCTTATTTGGCCCACAAGAAAATAAAAGAACATTCATCCACTGAGATCATACCAACAACTAAGTTGTAAGCATTTATAGAAAGCAACCTGCTAAAAAGCAATATGGAATGTTTGTCATCTCTGGAGATTTTAAGATACCCTGAATTTGCTTTTTGGTTGACTAGAAAATAAATTTCTTCTGTTACTGAGAAGAGAAAGAGTTTTCCCATCAAACTAAAAAAGACTCTTAAACCTAAAGCTGTATCAGAACAGTTTTTACAATGGGAGTGTGTGTGTGTGTGACACGACACACACCACTTTGCTAATATATCTTTAAAATTCAGAAGTAGTGTCACAGAATTCCACAGACCTACACATTCAGTCTGGGTTTTTAAATTGCAACTAGTTTTCCCTTGCAGTGCTTGTTCTAACATTTCTGCACTTCTCTGATTTCCTGGAAATCGGTTACCACCTTGCTCTTGCACAGGGAATAAACAGTGACGGCAGCACAGTTTTTCCAAAAGCCTTGTAGAAGGGCAAATAACAAGACTAGACATCAATTCTGATTAATTGTCGATTTTTCAAAGTAGGTTTTCCTCTCAAAAATAATTCAGAAAGATAAATGTTATATGAACCAGAGTAAGAGGAGTAGTGTTTTAGCAAAACAATGGCCAAAAAGTATGTTTTTCCAACCTCAACATAATTAATTATGGCACCATAGCAATGCATCTCTCAAGAGGCAATAAATTTCTAAACTATGCAAAGGATTGCGCAGCGATTGCAATGCTATCTGGAAAAGAATTTCCATAGAAAATATTTTTACAACCTATTTTTACCTTTATTCCCAAAGTTTACTTCTTATCTCCTCTACCTGACTTCTTGATTAATGTCTTTATAATTGAATCAGATTTTCATTTTTGTGACACTTCCATTTTCCACAGTTTATACCTTACAAACTACACAAGACAAATTACAATACAAGTTATTTGACAGTTACCATGCAAATAAAATCTAGATCTTGAAAGCTTCCATCCAACAACTTCTTTGATCCTACTAGTGAGAATAACCAAACTCCCAACTTGGTAAATAAGTCTACTGGAGTCAGAGAAAAGTGCAACTCTGTGCCTCTGCTTTTGATCCTGAAGTTCGCTATCATATGATATGAAAATTTCCTGGTTTTGCTTTTATATAGACCCAGATCACATCAAGTATGACAATGCTGAGCTGCTCAACACCCCTCTTGCACCCATACCCCAAAGCCAAAATCTCTGCAAAAACCACCTGTAAAATTAAATCCATGAGGGGTTCTCTCAGATGATATATAACAGATTTGGCTGCGTAACAAATTGGCTGGGAGACTGCCAGTATCTCCTTTTAATCTGACAGCTCAATAACCAAAGCACTCCCACCAAGGGGCAAATCTGGCGTCAGTCGTCGTCTTTGCTGCTCTGATCTGATGAATGGAAGGGGCACAGAGCCTGAAAGGACACAGCTCAAGCACATAAGAGACTTCATGACAATATTCCAAGTAAATGGAGGTGACTCCCTGCAGCTTGAGGGAAGATATCCCAGTCCTGGAAAGAGCCAAGAAATGTTGCATACATCATGTAACTTAAATCCTACGCAGCTTCTCAAGTGTGCATGCTGAATGTTATGAATTCAACTCCAGAATTTAACTCTACCCCTGCTTTGGAAAGAACTCTCTGTATTATTCAAGGTCAAACAATATGCTGCTGCTGAGTACTGTCACATCCAAGACCTCAACTTGCATACAATTAGTTCTCAGATACAAAAATACACAGAAATATAAATCAAGTGTTATAATTAGGCAGCAGTCTAACAGTAATTTAGAATTTCAATAACTTATTAAAAAGGCACTCATCTCATAATAGAAAATATTAATCCAACACTCTCCTGTGACTTAAAACTGTTTGGGGAAAAAAAAAACCAAACAAAAAACCCACCTATGATTGGCTAAGCCAACGCTCTAAGAAACTGAAAAGAAATTAAATTAAGCGCCTGAGCCCTGATCTGGTTCAAACACTGATGGTTGATTTGCCAACAGTGAATCCTGTCAGGATACAATTCTGTTAGGTTCTGTTTCCACGATGCTAGTCATGGAAATAGTAGATTTTTCAGGAAGAAGTAACATAATCTTGTACATCTTACTAAGTTTTCAGTGATAATACTATGTGGGATAAATTGTATTTATTTTCATACTTCGGGAATTAAAAGAAAAAAATACCTTCTTACAGTTAAAGCACATGAAAAAGAAAAAGAAAAAAAAAAATAAAAACTAATGATTATTCTTCCTATGTACTCATTCTACTCACTCCAGCCTGGAAGGCAGGAGTTTAGATATATAATTTATAGCTGAATTCTTATTTAAAAGGAAAATTAAATCAAATGAGAGGTATGAACTCAAAACATATTAAGCACATTAAACCTCTGTTCCTTATGGGAATCAAGTTAAAGCCGCTTTAGTTCTGAATGACAGCATCCATTAAAGTTTGATGTACTTCAACTGATCTGCTTTAATGTCTTACCTCTAGTTAAACAAGCTAATAGACAAGCCTATGGTTGCAAGTAGGAATTAAGTCTAATACCACGCTCCAAGTGAGAAACGTGCCTGCAGACTGGAAGAGAGAACGTGGGTATTTTTTGGTTCTTAACTTCCTTTCATTAACTTGGGTCTGTTTAAAAGTTTTGCACATAGTTTTACAATCAGGTTTCTTGTATCCTGTTTCAGGATAAGATTAATTTAGAATATTACTCTTTCAGCATTTTTACTCAAGAATTACAGAGGTAATTAGTCTGTTGACATTTATAAAAAATTCAGCATTTCACTCTGAAAGCACAAGGCTAGATCATTCTTAATTTTTAACACAATTACCCATTAAATTTGTTCTGCTTCTGCTCGTAAGTTTTCACTTTTTACCCAAATTTTCTGCAATCTTTTTAGCCACACGTTAGACAAACCTAATGTGTGAAGCAAGCTAAAACAAGATGTTCATTGGCGGTCTCCCAAGTCATTAAACGCCTACCAGAAGATTCCTCTCATACTCTCAGGATCAAACTGCAACTAGATAAAAAAAAGTCAGTTTGTAATCTAAAGCCTGCTATTTCCTCATTCTTCAACTAAATATGAAAAATTCTTCAATGAGGCAACGAATACAGCAAAACCAGTGTTTCCCCAATACAGACCGATACAATTCAGGAAGGCTTAAAAGCTAGCTTAATGTAATTCACACAATTTGGTGAGCAAAAGAGATGCAAATATAAACAAGGTATAGTAAATACGCTCTTGTGGCAACCCATAAGGATGCAGAACAACATCAGTTTTGTAAGACAGGTTTCAAAACAACAGTAGGTAATAAGATGATGAAACTAGTAACTAGAAGAAACTAATAACTGGTTAATATTTACCACCACAAGAGGTTAGGCATGGGGTATTCTGCATTTAATCTACCACTGAATATAATCTTTCTCTAAAGTAACTTTTATTGCAAGCAAACGTCTTTTTTCCCAAGACAGCAAAAGCCATGGGGCCCTCAAAACAACATACCATGAACAGTCAGGTTAGACTTTCTTTCTGAGAACTGAGTGCAGATACTGTCCCAGATATTGTGCAGAAATGAGTAACTGGAAGCCACTCTCAAGACCTACAACAGAACTCTTCCAGACCTGCTATATCTCATTAAGCATGCAATTAGCGGTAGCAAATAACACTTTTATAATCTTAACCAAAATGACAGAGTTCATTTGTGTGCATCTTCCTTCTAGAATAACAACTTCAGACTGCCTGAAGAAAAAGAAATACATCTTTCAGAAGTTAGGAAAGTTTCCTACACAATTACGCCATCACCCACTATTAAGAATCCCCAAGACTGCAGCAAGCCACCTGCGTGTTTGTAGCTTTCAACTTTGCCAAACTAATAGTTTGGGCTGAGATTTTCCAGTTTGAGCATTAATGACCATCTGATTGTTCACATAAACCATTTAGCCATTTACAAGAACACCACTGAGGACAAAACATGGAATACATATATGTTCCTACTCAAAGAAGTAAGAGCTGCTATACTGGATTCAAACTCAAGAATCATTTTAAGTCTGCTTACTATCCTGACACTGATGTAGCCGAGGCAAACACCAAGGAAAAGAAAGTGTAAAGCAGCACATAGACAGCATGAGCCCTTCATGGTACATGCAGTCTGCTTCCAGCAAGCCACCAGGTAAGGGACTTGAGAACCAGTTTAAATCAAGGCCCTTCACCGGTTTTGTGCATTTGCTCGATTAGACCCCAAGCACATTCCTCCTCCCCAACTTAGTCCTATCCCTGGTCTCTACAAGATGAGGACCTGTGTTTCAAAATGAAGTTGTACTGGGGAGAGATTGGCTATCTTCCTCCAGTTGCCCTAGTTCTTCTGTTCTGATAAACACTCAATAGCAATTCTCTAATTAATTTTCCACATAATTCCATGATTCCACATGATTCCACATCCTCCTTCAGCTTTCCCCCCTTCCAACTCACAGATTCCCAGTCTATTTTGTCACTGTTCATACAGAAGTAGTTTTGTGTCACCAACTTTCTTGACTCCCCTTCTGTTTACCTTTTCTAGTGCTACTGCATCCTTTCTGAGGTCAAACAGGCTCAGGATGGCATATAGACACTCAACATCTGAACGCACCAGGGATTTATGATGTTGACTGAATCTGGTTTGTTCTCAGGTCTTGACTTCAGTAATTCACTTTAAAGTCATTCTAGCGGCTTTGAATTTGCCCTTTTGACCACCCTTGACCTTGGAGCTGTTTCCAGAAGAATAGCGATGAAGATTCAAAGATTCTCCCCCTACCCTTTACCTGCAGAGTAATGATCGTTCAAGAACTCATCACTCTCTGTAGGGTTGTTTCTCTCCCATTTCTACTACATTAAAATTCAATGCTGATAGATGCAAACATAATTTTATCACATAAGCTACTCAGTATTATGAGATATTTTGCACTTCTGCACAGGTTAGCAAAGAAACAAAACCAGGCTAAGCAATTTTGTATCATCAAACTGTCATCTCATGCTTCACTGTCCCTTGGGGGAAAAAAAATTTATTTGTGCATACTCTTTAGAAATAGACTTACAAGACCTTTAGAGCTGTTAAATGATGCACGTCAGGGACAGCTCTGGCACTAAAACAAAGGAGAAAGTTTCCCCCATTTTTCTCCTGCTTAATTCAGTCCCCAAGAAGAAGGCTGACTTCTTCTGGGGCAAGGGACAAGAAACTCACTCCAGGAAGAGGAGAGGTAGGAAGAAGGTGAAGGAAGAGTTGGTCAGGAGAATCACCCCCGGGAGAAGGAAACCAGCATGGCAGCCAGCAGGAGGAGGGGGACACAAGCTGCAGCTTACCAGCTGCTCTGCTCAGCAACACCAGGAGCAGGAGAAATGGCAGAGCTGGTATCGGCAGCGAGGACACACATGAGACCTTGCAGAAGGACACTAGAAAAGAGATTGGACCAGGGGAGAAGATATACGGGTGAAAGAAAGAAGGGATTACAATAGTAAATCAGTGGTGAAGAATGGAACTGAGTGTGGAAACAGAAGGGAAGGGGGAGAAAAAAAAGCAGGTGATGCTAGCAAACTTGAAGAGGAAAAAACAGCACTGGTGAGGCAAGGAGTGGGAAGTGGGACAAAGAGTATGAAAAGGAATGAACTAGGTAGGAAAAACAAGACTCAGGCAAAAACACCAGAGGAAGGGAAAGAAAGGGGCAAATACAGAAAATGTCAAGGGGGAAAAGGCGCACAAAAAGGTGTCCAACACAGCAAACAGCTAACCTTCGCACAAAGTCCAGAGCCCCACCAACGCTCTGACAAACGTGCCCTCCTCCTTTCTTCTTTTAAGCATTAGTTCCCATGGAAGTTCCTTAAGACGGCAGGCTAATGCCTGTGTTGTGAGCAAAAGGTCAGGAAAAAGAGAAAATGAGGCATAAGAGAACAGAGCCATTGCAGTGAAATCAAGGGGCATAAGGAAGAAGCTTCTATTTCTAGGACAGAAAATGGAAAAATATATAGTACCTGTCAAATTCTTTTTTTCCTTTCAGCATGACCTTCAGGAATAAAACCAGATTTGTATGAAAAGGCAAGAGAGAAAGAGAGGAGGCCTCAAAGACTATGTCAAGGGTGCTGAAAAGAACCTGGGACTGACAATATGTGATACAATTAAACTGTAAAAACGGAGAAAACACTTGTGAAAGCAGGTGAAAAATCTGCAGAAGCTGATTGTAAGATTTTATTTTAAGCACTCTAGCATACAAAAGAAGCAGCAGAAGTAGTAAATATTGCTGCTGACAGACCCTGTGATAGAATAGGGAAACACAAGGAGAATCAAAAAGTGTATCAACAGAAGAAAAGCAAGCAGGAACAAGAGAATATGAGAAGTTGGGAATACTTACACACCAGATACCATAAGGAAGCACACGCAACAGAATATGAAGGATACTATACAAAGAAGTTATACAACAAATAAAAGGTTTAGAATAAGAATTAGAGACAACAGCTTTTGAAAAGCTCAATAAAAGAGCAGCTCTGCTAGTGAACCTGAACGTTTAAGTAGTATTGCCCCTGACTGAAGAGGCAAACACAAGCTAATACATACAGCTAAGCAACCAGATGCATCATCTGCATTAAATTACAGAGGATGAATGCAGAAGAGTTCACAGAAAGAGAGCCAGGAACCAGAGGAAGGATGACAAGCAAAAGAGTAGAAGTTACATGCAAGTAGCCTGGTAAAGAGGATTAAAAACCCCTATAAATAATATTTTTTTCCCTACTCAGACCGCAAATGTCTTACAATGGTTATTGAAATAACTGAATGTAATAAGACATTTTGTCCCAATCAACATGTCACTACTATACAATAGCACAACTCAGCCAAACAATCTAAGAAGTACAACATACACTTTGTTTCCACTCATTATGACATTTTCCACAGTTAGATAAAAATCAAAACAGCATGTCCTTTATCGGAGCTGATAAAAAGAGAGTAGGTCAAGGATTCTTCCTTTATCCTATTATTGCCAAGACAGAAAACATGTTTTTGCAATGCCCTGCACTGCAAAAAAAAAAAAAACAACCATAGACTAGACCTCCTTTTATATTTGTCAAGAAGCATGGAAAAGTTTAGGCAAGGGGCCAGATGTTTTGTTAAAATGCATAATGGTATGGCTTAGCTTTGCTGAGGACCCACACGCAGTGCCCTGAGAATCTGGTCCCACTGACCTCTCTTCTTACCTAACACCCAGCATCAGGTTTTATCAGCAACTCAGTATAAAAATGTACTTACATACACCCCCCCCCAAATCTCTTACAAAAGACAAGAGCATATCCTATGCTGTAAAGACTACAGTAATCTCCCAGGAAGACAAAGCTATGTCCCTAAGCACAATACATACCTAAAGTAACTTCGTGTATGAGCACAACCTTTCATGAAGACAAGGCACACTGCTAATGAGTGCTGTACTGAGAGCGCTCGGGCACTCCTTGTTCCACACTGTCCCTTTCAGCTCTTCTCTTTCTTACCACAGTCACCACCTGCTTTTCCCACCACACACATACTATGTTCCCACCTAAGCAGCACATTGCAGGGTTTCATGTATATACATGCCTATATGACTTTCCTTTTGCTCCTGCTTTTTATGGCACAGTCCCTATCCAAGTAGCTGTCCCTGAATTTTGCCACCAAAAAAAAAAATCTCAGAACAGATTTACATGACTTAGAAAGGCCTCTCAGTCTCTTATTCCACTGTGAGCATCCTTTTACCCCGTTGCCTACAGATTTTTAGATATTTTAATTAAAAAAAATAAGTTAATGTGATATGACACAGATTTGATGCAGCAACAGGACTCAATGATCGTGAAAGAGACATTACAAACACCAAATAAAAAGACTGAACAATCTTGAAGGAAATACAATGTTAAATGGAAGTGTGAAGAGTCATAGCGATGAGTGCTATTTTATAAACCACAAATATTTTTCAAAAACCTCATTCAGGAAAAGCCATGCAAGGAAGATTCCTTCCTTTAAATTTTCTTTA